CAGCATTAGTCATTACGTATCGGATTCATTTTTCAACAACTATTAATTCTTATTTTAATTTACATGAAAGCAAAATTTTCTGAACAAAGTTCAAAGTTCAGAGTTCAAATACTTTTTGTATTTACAATTTCTAACCATAAATTTTATTGATGTTAATAAATTATCTGAAAAAGGTCGACGATCAATTGTCAAATCATTTTTCCTAATTTATCTGCTAATAAACTACAAGATGACACGGTAATAGGATACTTTCGAGAATGAAAAGTATATCTCTGTTTGACTACGCACCGACCGATGCTTCCCTTCATATATCAGTTTTCTGGCCAAATTTGATTGTGACGGATTTATGGATCATGGCAGATATTCTCATTTACATAGCAGATATTTTTGTTCACAAATGCTTATTGTTTCAGGTGTGATGCGTGTAACTTTGGACAACAACCGGTTAAATTGAATCTCAAATTCGAATTCTTTTCCTATTTTAATCCGTCTCTCTAATATTATGCCGTACGTGTACAGAAATTCACACACGTATATTTGACGAATCATTCAAGACGCATCTATTATTTATCTGTATTAAGTGGTATACTTTTATTATTTCTGCAACTTAGCATTCAAATCTTTGCATTTCTTCCGATTGAGTTTATTCGATTTGAAAAGTTTTCCAGTAAAATGCATCTTTTTTTTCGATTTCTTCCCCTTGTAGATCCTACAGAATTTACTATGACGAGATATTCCAGTGTGGAATTGGAAGTCACAAGTGCACGATGTAGAATGATCTTGCCTTTGACCTTGCCGTTCTGTATGTATGTTTGTGAAATGGAATTGAGTTTTAGTGAACATGAAGTATTTAAAGACGACGTATATATATTTGGAGAATTACTTCATATCTTAAATTTCCGGATGGCAAAAGGTGCCGGTGAAGGACGAGTTTTAGCAAAGAAATGATTTCCTCGACGAACTTATCAGCATCTTCATTTTATCATCAGGATGAAGTGTCCACTGATAGCAATCGTTTTGTGATATGATGTACTCAGTGAATTGTGGTCTTAAAAAACTTCTTAGAAACTTCCGGTTGCATATTTTTCTTTATTTTAGTTCTCT